GCTCACACGATAGAGAAAACACCAAGATGAAAAAATCGAATCCATCTCATTTACCGACGAACATTTCTACTAAAGACCGGGCAAAAAGTGGGGGGAAACTATTCTGCACCCCGTGCAACTGTGTGTTTGAGCATAAGAGAAACATCGACGGTGACGACCCACTTTGATTCATTCAAACATTCGAAAATGCTTTCTGCTGCTGCGGACAAGAAAGCCAAACAACTCACGCTCACCGAGGCATCAACCTCCAAAACCCTTTCGAGGGCTACAAGAAACGAAGTGAGTAGCCTACAAGATTTAAGCTGGTCAGATAACGAACGAGTAAATGAAAACAGAAGGAGGCGGAGAAGTGTGTGTGTGTGTGTGGGGGGGGTGTGTGTGTGTGTGAGATTAAAATAGCCCAATTGCTTTTACAATAAATAAACATTGAATGTGTTTAATTGAATAGGAAAGGGGTTTAACGTTAGTGGCAGGNGGGGGGGGGAGAGAAACTCCCACTCGAGGAAACACAGGGATTTTAGCCTTTGCAGACCATTGACATGCACACAAACCTATAGCACACACTGTAGGAAAGGGAAAACCCCCCAAAAGCCTTTCAATTGATTCCAATATCCTCCCTCTCTACCCATCCACAACTACAGATTAATTTATGAAGCAGATCAGCCAACTGTGTCCTTTGGGCAAACGAGCAAAGAGCTGTTCATTATGCCGTTAATGAATTTGATCTAACCCAGTCTAATGACTTTAAATATAGGCATTAAGAGGCTTCTGTACTTCAGGGGGAAGCAGCTCTGAGGGTGGATCTTTTAAAAGGCGTCTTCCAGCTCCGGTTTCGGTGTTACCACAGACTGCTCCTTCCATAGCAACCCAAATAAACAGGGCCTGCACAGTGGCTGTTAAGGAGCCAGGAATGCTCAGTTTATGATCGGAAATACAGTCTGTCCTTTAGAGAGGCAATCGTTTTCATGATATTGCTTTTTTAAGGTGGATTAGAAGACACTTGGTAAAGATGTAATCAGGATACAAAAAAAGTTACTATACTACCTTACAGTTACATGAAAAGAGATTACTGTTACATTTACAATGTTAGTAAAAAAACCGCCTACTGCCTGAATCTGCTTCATGGTTTACACTTTCTTAGGATCGCTTGTCCTTTCTTTTTTATTCAGTAGGAGAACTTATATGTTTTTATTGCCTCCTTTGGACTCCTTTGTTTACTTCCGGAACATAAGTCACCACGTAACTCAGTACGTGATAGGCTAATGCGGGACATCTCTAAGTGGTTTACCAATCACAACAGAGCGGGCAGCTAACCAATCAGAGCAGACTGGGCTCTGGTTTCAGACGGAGGGTGAAAAGAGGTGCTGAAGCACAGGCAGTATGAGGAAAAAGATACCTTTTTGAACATTAAAGCATGGAGACATGTCACAGTAGAGGCACAAAATACAAATATTAACCTGAAAATTAGCAGAATATTTCCTCTTTAAAGTGACGCTCCTATCCAGCTCTGACCTCTGGGTTACAGCAAGGGGTCGGTCAGCTAACTACTTGCCAACAACTATCATGGTCTAGTTGTTATTGAGAAACAAGTTTCTCCCTAAACCAAATGCTGTGCGTTTCAGTGAGTTAGAAAGGATAAAATACATCTCTGGAGGGACTTCACAGAGAAACACTCAACATGAGGAGCGATCATAAGCTGAGCACAAGTTTATGTCTGTGTCTGGAGAGTAGCCGGCGTCATGACTCCACTCCGCTGTGATGCCTTAACTTCTAAAAATAGGGCACAGCATTGCGAACTAAATTTAAAACAGCAGCACAGGACACACACACACACAACATAAGGTACAGCTAATGAAAGATAAGGCACTGGATTTGCTCATAACACACAACACAGTAAGGTGCTCTTCAGCTAAAGTTATTTTTGTATTTCAATATGTCTAACCATGTATGGTAAAACAAACGACAGCTGGCAGCACTTTTTCCTAACTTCTTCTGTAAAGACTACAACAAAAGGTGAGGTACAGAGAAAGAAAAATCATTTAGCAGTAGGTCAAAGGTTGCCATTGTAAAACATTATCTTATAAAGAGGGGAAACCCCCACAGAGTGTTAGAGAGCGAAAAGGCTCACCGTTTGTGTGATCAGGCGCAGCAGTCCTCGTCTTTTCTCCGCGGCAGTGAGCAGCAGAGCTGGTAGGAGCTGCAGTGTTTGAGTCGCTCACACGTCTGTCAGCCGCTCAACAGCTGCGAGCCATAAATCCAGATCAGAGAGAGCCTCGTGTGATCACCACGAGGCGGCGCTCCCACTCCCTCTCTCACACACACACGCACACGCACGCACGCACACACAGCTCTCTTAAATGTGCACACATTAGAGTATCATCAGAGTGTATGAGAGAGAAACAGAGGCGAGGGGGAGGAGAATTAACCATCAGTACACATTATATCCCGGCAATTATACAGATTACATGTATTGTATTTCCTTACAGTTCCATAAAGAAAGATGTGATCAGATCCCTAAAATAAGTGGATTACTTTCAGGGTAACAATGTTAGTAAAACCTAAAAAGAGCATTTAGTGTTTGTTGTAAAAGGATCATATGTTATTTCTTCTTTGTAAACGGTACCAGTTCTGTAGGTTAATACGTTAAGCGTGAATATATTTGCCCACTGCCTGAATCTGCTTTATGGTTTCACTTTATTTGGTTCATGAGAAAAATAAAGAGCTTTTTGAACGATAAAGCATGGAGACATGTCACAGTAGAGGCTCAAACTACAAATATGATCCTGAAAATGAGAAGAATATGCTAATATATTACATTATAAAGAATACAATCTCTGAGCAGAGGACACCTTTTTTATCGTAAATATCTTGGTTCCTTCTTTTCTAAGGTCACAATGTTCAAAACTGACATTTCCTCTTGGATTTCTCTGCATTGCATTTGTTATTGAGGTCATTCAAAAGTAATGGAAATAAATCAGATTACATTTATTTTATATAAATCAGATTAGATTGTTTTATGGCACTACTTCTATTCTGTTTTATTGTGTTGCCGTGCTGGAGGAGCCTGGGCTGGGGGCTAGGATTTTCATCGACATAATTGCACTATGTACGAATGACAATAAAAGCCTTGAATCTTGAGATGACTGACATTGTTTTACATGTAACTAGTAATTGTAACACATTAAAAAAATGTAAGAGTAACCCTCCCAACCCTGCTTATGTCCGTAATGAACAGAGGCAGTTGTTTGTAATGCAGCCCAGTGAGTCACTCTCTGCAGCCCGAGGCTCCGCGCAGTCCGGTCTAATTTGGGGCTTCAGTCATGGCTCTCAACACGGAGTTAAGCTGGTGTTTCAGAGTTTCAGAGCTGAGCTGGGTGACGGGCAGCAGGAAGGGCGGACCTTGAAGGGGGCAGAGAGTAAGTCACAGTGGCAGCAAACACAGCGTGGTAAACACACAGGAGGGGGGGTGAAGGTTATTGAAATAGAAGGTGTTCCCGATTCATGGTCCTGAATTATTTTTCACAACTCTGTATTAGGTGTGAATAACTCATCCTTCAGTATCACTTAATACAGATGATTAATTTGTCTTCAGGGGGCTTCGTCACACCATCTCTGAAGAACAGGGTTTGACATCTGAACCGGCTTGGGGAGTTTAATCCACCACGAAAAGAGAAAAACATCTGTGTGCAGCGGCTTTGACAATGTGTTGTATTTAAGAATTAAAATATAGGGATTCAGAGATGGGACTATTAATATCTGCAGCTGAGTGATAGCAGGATAACAGGGATGGGTTCCTCTAAAAAGTAGTCCATTGCAATTACTAGTTACCTTACGTGTAAAAGAAAGTAATCTGAATATCACAATATAAAGTAATGTAACTGGATTATTTTTGGATTACCTCTACTTACTACCTATTATTGCAAATAAATCTATAAGAAAATATATTTCAATGAGTGTATTATGTAAACAACGTGACCTAAGAAACTACAAAAACCAAGATATTTGAGATACAAAATGTGTCCTCTGACGTGTAGTTTACCAATTCTGTTTTAGTTTAAAACCCAGTCTGCTCAGATTGGTTAGCTCAGAACAAAGAAGATATATTCACTTCAAATAAGAACAAACATAAGTGCTGGTGCAATAGTTTCAATTAAGCTGTTTTATTTATTTATTGAATGGCTAAGGCTGAAGCAAAAAGGTGGTTTTTTTAGTTTGCAAAGGATGCAGCTAATCCCCTGAAATAATTCAGCAATTTGACAAATAGTCGGCTAAAAAGCAACTCGTATATTGTGAGAGAAAGCCACCTCTATTAAAAGACAGGCATGTGTTAGTGTTCACAGACGCTGCACCGTCAGTGTGTTGTGCAGCTGGGGGTATTGCTGAGCTTTGACAAAGGGACGCCTGAAAGCATCCGTCACCTCCTCTGTCACGCCCTGAGCTAACATCTGACAAGGGGGGGGGGTACCTTCATCTTTATACAGTCTCTTATCAATATCTCATAACCTTTCAATGCCTGTGGCTTTTAACAGACAAATGGAAGACATTAATGATGAATCTCTGGCACACATTTGAAATGATCCGTCGAGCACCGAAAACAAGATCAGCCAAGTCGAGACGTCCCTTTGAATTTGTTGGATGTGAACGTTAGGTACACCGTGTGGACGCAGCAGAACTGACAACTCATTGAATGAAACACATGCCTCAAGTTGAGTTGAGAACACACCCAGCAGCACAGGTTAGTAACAATCATCTAATTCTAGGAGAGAATGCCTTCAAAGGTTATAATGAAACACAGCATGTCTATTTTTAGAATATCCAAAATTAAGTGCCAACATGGATTCTCTCCAATAATTAAAAAGCCCATTGCCTTGTGGAGGTAGAAAAAAAAAAAAAAAATCTTTTATCATTGGATTAGGATTCAAAAACACATTTAGCCAAAAACAATGAAGCCATTTTAATGTTTATGAATCAATGTACCTTCGTTTTTGGAGGAACCATACCCCTTAAACTGTACCTCAGAAACCCGTACTGTGTGTTACCCAAATGATTGAGTTCATTTAACAGGGAAAGTGGCCGTTAATAGACATTTCTGTAAATGCGCCAGTGAGGCTATTTCCCGTGTAGTCCCTGGACAGATTTGGTAAAGCTACCCCAGCAGCAGATATTTAAGGTTTTGTTCTAGCACATAAGAGACAGACTTAAATACCACACTGGGGAAATAAAAAAAACCACCAGGATGGCCCACAAAACCATTTCTTCACAGTACCACTAATACAAAAGGACCAGGTTTGACCCATCAGTTCTCACATGAACCGTAATGAAAGAACACCGGTATGATTTTGTCTTTACATTTTTATTCACCTTGTACTACAAACAGCTCAGAGGAAACCGGAGAACCTGCAAGACAAAAGGGAATTGAAGTCAGTGAATGTATCTTATTAATAATACATAAATACAACACTCATACAAATGTACATTTCATCTTGTTTCCATGTTGTTGTACCTACTTATGCCTTTTCTGCCTTCTCCGCCTTTTCTGCCTTCTCCGCCTTTTCTGCCTTCTTGTCCTTCTTCTCCTCCTTCTCCTTCTCCTCTGGTGCTGCCTCCTCCTCTGGACCCTTGGTGTTACGGGTGTAGATCAGCTGTGCTCTGTGTTTGGACACGAGTTTGATCATGCCTGGAAGACAAAACAGGATAATGTTCTCCATCAGTTTTATCCACACTAACAATTCACATGTGCCCTTATTTGAGTTACTCTGCAGATCATTGTTCAATGTCAGTGAAAGTCTGAACGTCTCAGTTTAAAGTTGACAGATGAATCTGAGCTTTCGGAATATTATGAGAGGACAGAGTGTAGACACAGTATATGCACGTCAGCAATGCAGTTCATGTTGTGATTCCAGCTCTAAAATCACTACTATAGTATTTTAAAAGAGAACAAACTCATGAGGTTGAACAGTTTTTGGACCAGAAGAGCATGTTTCAAATATGATATAGATATGCAATAGAAACAAAGCTCAGTCTTAAAAATGTGTTTGCTTTTCAAAAGGCTAATGCCGTTCAATTCAGGTAAGCTTAAACAAAGCGAGCGATGGTTACGATGCACTTTACTCCCACTTCATTTTGAATAACATGTCTTTTGAAACAGGCGGCAGGTTGCATAAAGACAGACACACACCATCACCACTGTGTATCTATCTTAAGTTTTTATTTTTTAATTGGGTGGGATACAAGAACATAGATATTTGGGAAAGTCACCGTTGTGCTTTCATCTAGCAACTTATCCTTTCAATATTTTGAAGAGGATTTCAAAATTTAATGACAGCAATGTTGCAGCTATGATTACTGATGAAAGCAGGAGACAAACTAAATGTCAACCATACAAATCACTGCCACCTGAGAACACCTGAAAAACACTTAGTGTGGATACGCAGAGTGAGCATTTATAGAAGTCAGACACAGCCAATGAGCTGTACTGATGACTGGTGGGGATTACTAATGATGCATGTAGATGTTTGTTAAAACACGGCCAGTTGCAGTTAGTTCAGCCTGTTTTCTGCCACCAATGTAAAATATTATAGCAGATTACATTAAGAGTAAAACAGCCTTTTTGAGATATGATTTAGTAGGATAAAATTAAACTTCACCACAAGTAGCCTTGCAGGACAAACAATGGAGCAAATTCTGTCAGGACTCGCTGAGATTAGAGCAGCAAAAGGTGCTTAAATATTTCAGTGGTTGAACCGAATGTAGGCATGTTGTCAGTGATATTCACCTTTGAAGAGCAGCTCCTGGAGGGCGTTCCTGGCCAGGGAGCCACGGATCTTCAGCCTCTCAGACACAACAGCGGGGGTGATGAGCTTGTAGTTGGGCACCTCTTTGTACAACTTTTCGTAGGTAGCCTTGTCGAAGAGAACCAGGTTGTTGAGCTTGTCCCTCACCTTTCCCTTGGACCACTTCTGCTCGGAGACAAATATTTTACGGATTAAGAACACTCTTGGGCAACCATTCTTGCTAACATTAATTTCAAAACATAACATGGGGTTGGTTTAAATTAATTAAGTTAAGTTAAGTTAAAAGTAGTCATTGGCAAATGTACTAGTGTTTATATTTGATACATCCTTACATTTGGTCTTTTTTAATTAAAAGTTGATACAAACTAGAATAGGTTTTGAGTTATTTGTTATGAGTGTCCCTGCCAAGGGAATGCATATGTAATTTAGCTATAATCTGGAATTTAACAACTCATATCTTTTTGAGATTAATGTATTTTTATGCATGGTCCTTGTTCAATAAAGATATAAAATCGTACCTTCTTCTTGGCTTTGCCCCCGGACTTGTTAACTGGGTCCTTGTCCTTCTTGGACTTCCCAGCGTCCTTCTTCTTATCCTGCTTGGGAGGCTATAAAGACAAGATAGAAAAAACGTCATTCATTTACAATATATGTGTGCTGCTCGCATGGTTCCAAAACAAATCACACAAGTATAAACTGCTTTTACAGTAAGGTATTGAAGACAGAAATTGCACTGCTGGTGTGAGGAGCTAGCAGAGTGACGTTAACTTCGCTGGACGGCATGGGATGGCCTTGTCAGCGTCCTCAGAAAACGTTGCAAGCCTCACTATTTCTTTTACATTGGACATACTTAAGGTTACAATAGCATTGTACTAGTTTCACTGACAGCGTCATGTATACATTCATGTAGGTCTCAAGTTAGCGAAATAACGTATTGGGCTTATATTTCTTTACCAGTGTAGCATGAAAGCATGGTGGAATTAGCAAGCTAGCTGGCTAAATAGCCGACCGCTAAATGTGTAAAATGTAACAACTTGACGCTTCATCCACACACTTTTGTCACAGCATAGGGAAGTACAACACTATCGACAAACGCTCCGAAAAATAAGAACTCGAAAAAAAATTCAGAAATGTGTTACATTTGTGATTTGTTTCGACAAAACGGGTAATAACTGTCCTCACCATGTTTCCTCGTCAAGATGTCGGAGTGAAAGGAAGTTCAACCCGTGGAAGAGCCCCTTAGACACCCCGTATATGCGGAAATGGAGAAGGGATTTGTGGGTAATTGAGTCCTTCTGTTTTTTCGAAGGAATAGTTTTTAATCTGTATTGGCTCAACATACAGCGGCACAACAGTTATATATGTTTGTTTGAAATAAATAAAAACTTACAAATGATAAATAAATTAAAAATTGGCAAAGCCAATTAACATTTTTTCTGACACTTTGTGGTCACCTGATCTGAGTGTAGTCAGCTGGGCACGACGTCGAAAAGATGGTGATCTTCAGTGTGTATGTGGTGAACAAGGCTGGAGGTTTAATCTACCAATATGACAATTATGTGCCGAGAGCAGAGGCCGAGAAGACCTTCAGCTACCCTTTAGATTTAGTGCTGAAGCATCACGATGAGAAGGTGGTCGTGTCGTATGGACAGAGGGACGGAATCAAAGGTAACGTTAGCACAGTGTTAGCTCAATGCTAGCTGGGGGTGTTGATTAAAGACCTACACATCTGAAGTAAATATACTTCTAATAATTGCACCGATTGTCTTATTATCCTTTTAAAGACACGCCTTTCTCTGTAGCTCATTGCATTTACGTTTCATTTAGAGACAAATGTACATACTTAATAATGTATAGTACCCTATATTTATATGTTACTATTTGTAGTTTGGTATATTCCTCTATATGTCATAGTGTGTATGCAGAGGTGGAAGAAGTACTCACAGATCTTGAACTTAAGTAAAAGTAGAAGTACCAGAGTGTAGGAAAACTCTGTTGCAGTAAAAGTCCTGCATTCAAAATGTTATTCAAGTAAAAATACAACAATATAACATCAAATATATACTTAAAGTACCAAAAGTAGAAGTACTCATTATGCAGATTGGTCCATTTCAGAATAATATATAGGATATGTTTTGATTATAATTATTGATGCATTAAAGTGTTATCAAAGCTGGTGAAGGTGCAGCTACTTTTAAAGACTTTGTATACTGCACTGCAGGGTAGCTTCTGAATGTCTAATTAAATGTTGATTATATTGCACATTATTAATCCAAATATGCAAAACAAATAAAGGTATCAATAATAATAATAATAATAATAGGAAAAAATATAGCAAAAAATGGAAATACTCAAGTAAAATCCCTGAAATGTGTACTTAAGTACAGAACTTGAGTACATTTACATTGTTACTTTACACCACTGCATATACATTTATCCCTCTACTGTTGATATGTCCATTTGTTTTTGTTTTACATTTTATTTCCAACTTCTTTGTGCAGTGCTTTGATTACCTTCAACACAATTATTTAATCTATTTGTCTCTATATTCATTTGAAAGGGATTAATATTCCCTGCAATATTTGTTTTCCTGGATCAATTCTAAAATCACCCACCTACCGATATTATACTTTATGAGAGCTATGCATTCACATTTGTGCTATCCAGTTTTGTGTTTCTTTTTCCTCTAGAGGTTGGCCGCTGCACTGTAGCATTTGAAACATCCTTCTCCGTGAATTAATTTGCAATTTGAATTGTGGCCTTAATAAAGGACACTGAGAACATTGGGATTACCCCAACAATGTTCCTCCTCTGCAGTCTCTCTGTCTGCATAATTAATTTGACATGAAAATGTACTCCTTATTATTCTGGGATGCTCAACTCAAGGGCATGCCTTGTCAAAGTCTAACTTTTAAACTGTATTGGCTGAAACTTGTGTGTGTGGTTATTCTCCAGTGGGCCATGCTGTGCTGTCCATCAACGGCGCTGATGTGCTCGGCAAAAACACGGCAGAGGGAAAAGACATCCTTGAATATTTGAAGGATTCCTCAAATTATCCCGTGTCTATTCGCTTTGGACGGGCGCGTCTGAGCTCCAACGAGAAACTGATGCTGGCCTCCATGTTCCACTCGTAAGTTACATTAATGTTTCATAAAACAGCTCTGAGTTTTTGTTTCTAACCTTTACATGCTTCACTGATCCCCAAAGTCAGTTATAGTACAGGTAAGGAGAGGCTGTTCACATCTATTTGTAACTGAGTCACAGACGTGGAAGACTATTTGCTTAAGTAAAAATATTCTGTTATCCATTTGTACCTGATCCTCATGTGGATCAGTTGTATTGCATACTAAAGTATTTTGTTGTTGTATGTGTAGATCACCATGTAAAGCATTGTATTTCTCCTGTGTGCTTTCACAGGTTGTTTGCTATTGGTTCACAGCTGTCCCCAGAGGTTGGCAGTTCAGGGATTGAGATGCTGGAAACCGACGTGTTCAAACTCCACTGCTACCAGACTCTCACCGGTCAGTAGATAAACAAGCTTCATGAGCCATTTTTTTTAAAGAAAAGCGTGATTTTTAGTCCAAGTAAAGAGGCCAGAGGGACTTTCAAAGTAACTCAGTATCTTCTTTGTAATACTTCCCCTTTAACCCAACATAATTACTTGTTTTTGAGTTTTTTAAACTGATGTCTTTCTCATTGGGTTAGGCCTATCAGAGTGTACACTTTCTTCCATTCTGTATATTTATATTGTATACACGATACTTTATAGACATATATATATTTCACTGTCAGTATGTATATTTCTTTTTTACCGTCTCTTTTCTATTGCTTTTCATTTTGAAGTGTATTGCCTTATTTACAATCCCAGTGTTCCCCAAATTGGGTTCAATAAGGAGTATCCAATCTAATATAAATCCTATTGTTCCTTCAGGGATAAAGTTTATCGTGCTGGCGGACCCCTAATCTGGAATAGATGCTCTGTTGAGGAAGATTTATGAGATATATTCAGATTTCGCCCTCAAGAACCCGTTTTATTCACTGGAAATGCCAATCAGGTGAGAGAGCCAACCAATCTGNGTCTACTACTGAATAGTAACAACTCTATTATAATGATCAAGTAGATCTACATGAAATACTACCTGTTGGTAAGTTTAACGTGTAAATAGTGCTCGTCCTACAAAGTTTACGATATCACAGTCGACCGTGGTAATCAACTTTTTCTTTATCGGGTGTTGCCTATCGTGTTTACCTTTCGTATGCGGAGTATTTACATAAATGGCACTTCCGATTCCTCCACTACATCTTACTAAGGTCATTTTGTTTGCAAGTCCCGTAGAATTTAGGAAAGTTAACTTGTATATATGTTTATCTAACAGTCATGTACACACAGACATTGGACCTTTAGGTGGTAGACCGACCGTTGTCCCATAGTCAAAAAAACCTTCATTTGACTTAGGGTTTAGACACAACAGTCATACTTGTCATGTCCCATATATACATATCTATACCACGTTTAATTTGTTCGATACTACATAAGGAGTTGCAAGCCTATGAGATTCATAGGTAAGGCAAAAAACCTAAACTTGAGCGCTATAGGTATAGACGATATAACTAGGCTATCTACTAATCAAAACTAATAAGGACCCGGGCGTCTGACAAAGCACGTATAAGATCTAATGCTAGTCGCCCGTTTATTAAAAAGCAGTGGCGGTAAGTACTAGGTGACGTCGTAAGTAGCTTCAGTTTGTCTTGTCCTGTCCATGTGACGTACTACAACTTGATTGATAGTTTCCGTTAAGGAAGGACGTCCGACGAAGAATAGACCTAACTACCTACTTTACCGTGTCATAGCCAATTGTTACAAACATCCTATGATGACATACACCCAATTCAGTTTATTAGTTTGACATATTCATAAATTCTTCCCTGTACTAAGTTAATACTGTGAGTAGTGAATTCAGTAAGTACATTTTCACGGTCTAAATCGACCCCACCTAAAAATAGCGTCAGGGACGTCCCAACTACTGTACAGTTCTTTTTGTTTGTGTACTCGTTGTAGCTTCGTGCTAAGGTTCAACAAAAAAAAAGTCCATCATCTGTCATCACCTTTCAAATAAAAAAATATAATTAGACATTATAGATGTCTCTGCAATGTGGTCTCTTGTCTTCCTTGTATTATTGTTCATATCCACTAGATGGCGATCGGTAGGATTAAAGCACTGATATTCAGGATCTAGTCATCTTGAAAAATCGTAATCTGGATCAGGGTGATCCTATCCTGAATTGCTTTGAACTCCAGGGACAACATTTGGCCGATTTGTCTGATCCTGGATCACAAAAAATGGGATTTCAAAATCTGATCGGATCTGATTGAGATTAAAAGTTTTGAACTCCTGGGCCCAGGTCATACAGGTGGATGTAGCCGTATTTGGTGATGAGGAAGACGACGTCTTGCTTGGAGCTGATCTACATGTGCAGAAAGAGAAATCTGGTTAGGAAGTGTAAAGGAGAAATTAAACCAAGGCTAAGTAATGCCAGGTCAGAGAGGGAGGTCACACCCTGAGGGGAGTTTTGTTCTGGCCTTTTGGAAAATCTTTTTTGTTTGAAGAAATAACAATGATGCACCACAGGAGAGTTTTGACCCATGTGGCAAATAGTAGTTTGAAAAAAGCTAACAGGCTCTACGTGTCTTCTTGGAAGTGGTTTTGTTACCTGCATGGCCACAGGGAATTGAGGGATTGAGATGCTGGAAACCGACGTGTTTAAACTCCACTGCTACCAGACTCTCCCCGGTCAGTAGATAAACAAGCTTCATCAGCCATTGTTTTTAAAGATAAGTGTGATTTTTAGTCCAAGTAAAGAGGCCAGAGGGACTTTCAAAGTAACTCAGTATCTCATTACTTGTTTTTGAGTTTTTTAAACGGATGTCTTTCTCATTGGGTTAGGCCTATCATAGTATACACTGTCTTCCATTCTGTATATTTATATTGTATACATTATACTTTAGACACATATATATTTCACTGTCAGTATGTATATTTATTTTTACCGTTTTCTTTTCTATTGCTTTTCATTTTTAATTCATGTGCATTGCCTTGTTTACAATCCCAATGTTCCCCAAATTGGGTTCAATAAGCAGTATCCAATCTAATATAAATCCTATTGTTCCTTCAGGGATAAAGTTTATCGTGCTGGCGGACCCCCGACAATCTGGAATAGATGCTCTGTTGAGGAAGATTTATGAGATATA